TCAGTTAATAGTAAATACCACGTGTCATGCATACTCATTTGTTTTTAGTCTATCTAAATTTATATCTTACATAACGTGATCTCGGTCTCTCTATGTATTGATATCAAAAGAAGTGCGTTCGTGAAAGTTCATTTGCAACTAGGAGGTACTTAGTGAAAGGAATCTCTGAACTAAGAGTGTCTGGGGTTTCTCAACTGATACCTTAAAAGATTGGCATATATGGAACTTATTATATATGCCAGCTACGTCCTTAACACGCCACAAGGAAGCGCTAATAATATAATTCAAATACATTTTCATTAAAGTTGTTTAATTGGCTAATCAAGCCTCCATATTTATTTGAACTTAGAACAAACGGGTTTACTCTGAATTTATTTCAAAGGAACTTGAAGTGTAGAGTAAGACAGTCACTTGAATGAAAGTTTATATGTTACCAAAGTTCGAGCAGGGACCAGCCAATTAGGATTACCAAAATTTGTGCAAATCTAGCCTGTGGAATCTTCCAGTCAAGTTTAGATCACAAGTTCCTTATTTTCATCTTTATCCTGATATTCGATCTATGTTTAAATAAGCAACAAGAGAATCATAAATATTGTATACAATTTTCCAATTAAGCTTATAAATTCCGCAGAAACAACTGATCTAGCTTCTGTAAAAGGAAACATGGATGTATTTTTTGTTTATTATCGATCACAGTCTAGGATCAGTTTCCTATTAGATTTTACTCAAACTGCCTAACAACCTCAGATTGGTGGGCTTTTCACCCAGCTTTCCATTCGTTTGTGGAATCGTCATTAAGTGCTTTGTCCTTATCGGAGCTCTTTTACTTCATCGTATCAGAAGCTCTGACAATAGTATGGAAAATAAATAATCTCTATGAACACACACACATATATAAAAGCCTTCTGAGTTGTGGCCCTATAGGCTTGCCATAGTGGTAGACTAAATTATAGTATTCAACCAGTTAGGCTAATAATTATCAAACACGCATATACATATATAGTTTTCTCAACATATAACATGTTATGTAGTTTTAAAGTTTATTCATTACTGGGACTGTTAACTAAGAAACCACAGTATATACGGGCGTGGGGCAAAAGTGGCTCACACAGGTATTTCGCTTAGAACATAGTTTAACTTCTAACAACTCACTATGAAACGGAATAATTAAGTTGGTTTCAGTTGTCTTTAATATTTTCTTTAATACCGTATAATACTAGCTGTATCAGTAACTTTTGCTCCAACCTGTGTGTGTGTATATATATATATATATATATATATATGTATTTTTCTGTAACATCGTAAAGTTTCCATATATACTTCTAACTTGAAATATGCAAGCAGTATTGTGGACAAGGTTTCAACGCAGCATGACTGAGAGTAAAGTACATTATGTACAGACTAGTGTACTACATCACTGCTATGTTTCACCGTCACTATACATTTATACTGTAACAGTCGTTTTTGTACGTGGCTAATTGCGGATAGTATGTCTTTGAATCGGCTTGTCACGATCTTAGTATAAGTTTGTCATACAGTATGAGGCAACGCCGACGAGACAGGCTTAACAAAGAACTTGTTTGTTCGGTGACTTTCATGTGAGAAACAAGTCTGTTGATTGTTTGCTTTTTCTCCTTACTAAGTGTATGATGAAATGGGAAGATTTACTCTAGTAACTTGTATATCACTCACATTCTGCCGGTTTCCATATGCTTTAGCAACTTTGTGTACCAACGCGTGCACGTGAAAAGTAAGAAGAGCGTGTTTCGCATCGACTGTTGCCTTCAACCTTTGAAGACAGCCAATCCGAACGTGCCCTACAGGCTTGCAGATTCTGTGAACTTGCCGCAGGGTCGGGGTAGGGGTTTTTGAATCTGTTTTCAATCCTTCCTCCCCTACAGTCTTGTTGAAATACAGTATACATGGAGATATAGCAATAAAACTATTGACTTAGCGGCTCTTACACAAGTTTATTTGAAATTCCACCTGTGCCAACTAATTAAACTAGTTCAAAGGATCGACTACTTTATTTTCCTTACGTGTGTTAGAACGTATTGATTGATAAATTTGAAAGCTGTCTTTGCAGATCTTTCAGTTTATTTGTGTTTGTGTCTGATAAGAAGAACCTGGTTCCTTTTGTACGTTTCTAACATGATAAATCAATTACCACTATCATTCACTACTGGCTTTGGTTATATCGATATTGAGTCGATGCCTTTAACGTGATTGGCAGTAACACTGAATATCAATGATAACGATAAAGTATAAGTTGAGCTTTATATTTACACCCACGTAAAAGAAGGTGTACGTACGTACGTTATTGGAATCACTAAACAATGCAACACCTCAATAAAAACAAAACAAACGTTTGTACTATTCCGAGTCTACATAGTGTCAATTTTGGAAAAAGCTTTCAAAAAGCGAAAAATGCATAAAAGTGTGTATATATACAGCTCCACAGTTTTATTTATATTCAGTTTTATATATTTTTGCCAATTTTTTAGAGGGGTTTGTGGATGCGTCGTTTGGCGGGGGGAAAAAAGTTTTTGCCGGTGCTTTAAAAGAACTCCAACCTATTCGTTTTAATTAATAATGTACATTATATACGTGGTTACACAAGTTAGAACTAATGTAAACGCTCTATATTTTTTAAAATGGTTTCCTTGTACAGTTATTTTTCACATCATTTAATACCAACAGTTTTTCTTTAAACCTGAATACAAAGATCAATGCTATACCTGAACGATGTAAATATTTTCAAAGCGAGGATATTGTTGATTTAAGTCAGTGATGATATAATTACTTCACTTACAACTCATATTATACCCGTACATTGTACCAAAAGCTTGATCAGTCGGTGTTGCTTTGTTATAGTGTATTATAGAAACCATCTGGTGATTACATAACGTTTAGTTGTTGTTTTTCTTCTTTATTTACAATAATTTGATTTTTTTAATTTCGCGCCAATAGAACATGGAAACTTTGTGCACCAATAAAATTAAAAGGTGCTATTTCATCTGTACTCAACGTAGGGCTTACTGTGTATGATGTGCGGCATTTCAAGGTGAAATTAAACAAGAACTTAAGGCGTTGTTTTAAACTTGTTATGCGCGATTTTATTCATTTTAGTCGTAACTTTGTTAATGAACTCGAGAATCTACGAAATAAACACACATAATCAGTCAGGCGTAATAAAATATTTTAGTTTTCCAAGTTCATTGGAAAATTATACAGACTTCTCAGTGCTACTGTATAATTAGAAAGATGTATACATGTACACATTAAAGTGGGGAACTGGGGTCAGGTTGTCTCTGCGAAATTGAACCTTTCTTCCCACAGCAATAAGTCGAGAATTACGTATGGGAATTGTGCATGGCTGGAGGCCTCGGCGATGTGATGAAAGAGCCCCTTTCTTCGCTGCAGAGGAAGTTGATTGTAGGGTACGACATTGACCTTCATACTTCATTATCTGCCCCGTCTTGTGATTGGCTCTTCGATCCTTCTTACTGGTCCATAATTCTCGACGACTTCTTTAATGCTGCCGTCATGCGTGTTAGTATTGTTATTATATAGCCAGGCCCAAAGCATGGTATGTCCGAATGCTGGTCTATTACTGGAATGTATAATCATCCAATGCCAATTACACGAGTTTTGGAGTTTTCATTTGTTGCTAGGACGCCTTAAGAAAAGGAAAGGAAATTCACGTTTTAAGACATTTCACAGACATCATTTGGATAATCCCAGATTTCAGATATTTTCATTAAGTTGTATATATAATTTAGTTTGTACAGAAATTCAAAGATTGGGGAGTTACTAGTATTTCTTATTTTTTTCCGTTAAAAATAATTTGCAGAATCGATACAAAGAAAAATTGTTCACGTGCCTAAATATTCTACGATTTGGTTAGTATAACGAGTGTCTTAGATATGTTTCTAAATCAGGAGATAAAAATTTTCCATAAAGATTCCAAAGGAAAGAAAAAGTGCTTTTTCCTTCTAGCAATGTTATTTTTAGCTGCTTTAAGCACATGTTATTATTACAAGAAGCAGTTCAAAAGTCAAGGCTTTATGAGGGCTCTAGTACTGTGGATATGTCCCTGGCATCAGTTGAATAATATAACAAATCGTAATGCTATTTTAGTAATTTCACTGGGGATTTGTTTCAGACCTTACTAGAATTGCTTAAGATCCTCTAGTCTGTGAAAACATGTCACCTCAGGTTAGTTAAATGAAACCTGCACAATGACAAGATGAGAACTACATTTCTAAGCAATGTTAGATCTCATTAGCAGCCACTGTGTAATACAGAGTGTTATTGTTAAGAGCTTTAATTCCTGTAAGTCTGGAAATCTGTAATGTACAACTTTTGTTTATACACATATTATTATATCTTTTCATTACTAAAGAAAACGTGAAGTTTTCCAGCCAGGTTTGTATAATTATGTAAAGTTGGATTAATGAGAGTGTATGTAAGAATTTTACATTTCAAAATCCTTTAAATATTATGTGATAATTCTGTTTGGGTTCTTAGTAAATTGCTAAGCAGGCCCAACCTTGTCAGGTTTCTTAAAATAAGGGTCAAAACCACCAGTAAAGGATGATACCCAAGGCAGAGTGGTCATAGGAGCTGTGTGTGGTTTGCCTGTCACTCATAATTAAGACTAATTATTATTAATTGTAGTTTTTATTGAAGATTTTTAGCAGCTCTTCTGGTAGAAGTTATTAAGTAATTGAGTTGAAGGCTTTCACAAGTCATGTCATTCAGTCAAATTCATGTCAAATTAAGTAGTATCCTTGGATGATTTAAATATTTAATGATTGGTTGTTGTTGTTTTTCATTTTAAAGTAATTCTAAACCTTAAGGAAATTCTCCAAAATGGATTAATTATCAAAATCCATTTGGTACATTGTTACTTTTAATTACTGTAACATTTTACATAAGTTCTAAGAACCTTAGAAGATAATGTGAACAGTATTACAGTTTTATTTTTTTGTTGTCAGATTGCCAAAAGGTTGCAAGAAAAAGCCAATATATATCTTGATGTTTTGGAGAAAAATAAAGAAGAGGTTGAAACGCTGTATAAACATCATCAAAATTCACCTGTATCATATATTAACCCATGTTTTGATATTGAAAGTTCAATTCTTAGGTAAGTAATTTTTATGAAAAAAAATTTTGGCATACTTTTCAGGGTAGTTGATTGTTTTGGAAACTAATGTGAAAGGTAGCATAAACAACGATTGTCTCATGTAGAAGCATCTGTTACAAATCTGATGTATAAGTTGTAACAAAAGTTGTGAACCATTACTTTAATTCAAAAACACAATGTTCCCATGTTATTTTATGTGGTATTCTTGAAATTAAATTCTGTGTAAACGAATTTGAAAAAACACTGATTTTTGGATAGTTTGGAATGCTAGGAAAATCGGTCTAAGGCTATGAACTTCTATGTATAATATTTCTGTTTGTACAGAGGGTTGAGTACATTATATTAAAATTATTTTGAATATGAAAATAAGAAAGCTGCATGACAACCACAACTGATATAAAGAAATCAGTGGAACAGCATGTATCACAATTACATTTTGAGATGGTTTTGCATTTTGTAGGTAGTGTAATGACACTGTACACTGAGCACATTTGGGAAGGGTGTGTTACAGACCCTTCCACTGCAAAGTATTCATACTCTCAGATCATAAATATGTATTCAGATTGGGGATTTATAATTCCCAAGACAGGGATATCCCTCGTATTTAATGGTATTTGAAAGCAGAGGAACATGGATCAACTTGGGACACCAGGACAATCTAAAATGGCCTTTTAAAAGTTATACCTTGGGTATGATAAGCAAAGCTCAGTGTCTTGTAACAGCTGAGAATAGACAGACACAAAAGTCAATGGTAAAAGTTGTCCATGTTCCCAGGCAATAGTACACAACATAATCAAGAAATCTCTCCATCTGGAAGAGTGATTGACATAACCTGCTTCTATAATATATATGTTCAACCATTGCATACAACGGGAGAATAAAATGGGTTTCATACTATTTCATATGAAAAGATATTGGTTAAGTCACTAAATGTAGCATCTATAAATCTATGTGTGGTTGGACTGTTGAAATGAGTGATGGGTAAGTGCCATATTATGTATTATGGAATGTAACAAGGAAGATTAATGTGATTTTGACATGACAACTTTACAGTGGAGGTTTTTGCAATGGAAACTATATTTCAGAGCTTGTGTCAAGATGCAAGATCATCAGATATGAGCGTGATGTGACATGGCATCATGGACTATAAAAAGATGTGAGACTCCAAAATAATTTTAATTTGATATAATCAACCTCTGGATGTTGGAATACTTACAACTTTTATAATGAAAATTCTGATAAACACATATTTGAAAATTTTAATTTTTGAATAACTATATTCCATGTTGGTAGATGGTCAAAAGGTCAGGTTTTTCTAAATTTTAGCTCATACAATTCTTATAAGTTTGATTATTGCTGTTTTGTTAATTAACATGTTTTTGCTAAATTTGAAATGATTAATTTAACATAAATGAACACTGTTTATAGTTCTTATGGCCATGGAAATTTATCTGCTTCACTACTTTGAATGAAAAAGTTAAAGATTCTCTGCACATATTTGAAATCTTATGAATAATGTAAGCATTGTTTTATGGCAGATGATGTTAAACAATCTTTTGGTTGTTTTATAATATTTTAGAAAACCAAACATATAGGAATAAATACACTCTGTCTTTATAGTTTCAGTGAACATTTTGGAACAGCAGTTTCTTTAGAATCATCATGTGATCTTGCACCACCCAAACTTGAAGATGGAATTTTTAGCCCAGGAAATAATTTAACTGATGGTAGGTTTCTTGGTCTCATTTACATTAAACTCTTGAAGATGCAGAAAATTAATTTGAGTGGCTGTAATTGAGCACAACAAAGGCAAGTTTCCACGTAGCAAAAACATGCTAAGAATCAAAGCTGGGGGTTGTAGGGGGTGTTCAGAGCAAAAAAAATTAAAAGATATTTTTAAATATTATATTTATGTGAGTCTACTCAGATGGGTTTTGGGGTAAGACAAAATACCAAAATATGTGATGGAGAGGAAAAATCTAAGCAACATTTTTATTTGTTTTTATTATTTTATTTTACTTTTTTGGATTTCTGGTCTTAACTTTTTCATGACATGGTTTTTAGAATTTGGATGCCAAAAATTTTGGGCTCAAAAGTGGTTACTGCTCCAATATTTAGTCCATATTACCCCCCCCCCCTCTATTTCAATTTCTTGATGTGTTTTCGGTTTATGTTTGTTTCTCTGTATTATTACCTTATATAAGTATAAATGGTTGTAGTGTTAGTTAGAAACCTTGACTTTGGATGGTTAATAACAGTAGGTTGACAAAGACTAGTACAATTTTCTATATTTTTTGCACAAGGTTTAACACAATTTTGAATGGAAGATATTTACTTAAACTGATACAATGATGCTATGCTTGCTCATATGTAAAATTTATCACTGAAATTCAAAGTGACATTTAGGTAAGCCTAAAACGTTGAAGGACGTCTGTTATCCTTAAAACCTAAAAATATATACCTAGATAAACACCTACATGTATAAAATATGATTTTTGTGTTAAGTGTCAAACATACATTTGATTTTTTTCAGTGTTCAGTGAAAATCTGGGAAAGTACCCTAATGTGAAATGGCAGTATTTCATATCGGCAGCGGGGGTTCATAGTGAGTATCCTGCCCACAAGATGGATCATACAACAATTTGTGGTCTGGGAAAAGACAGCAGACACAGGTAGATTATGCCTTGTATTGCACTTAATTAAGTAGCTTACTATAAAACCATTTAGTACCGACATTTCTAAATGATTGCAAGTACTGGTTGTTGTTTAGTGTATAATTTCAAGGTGCTTAGCAGCATTCACATTGATAAATTTTGGGGGTGCTCAAGCACGCACAGAACCAATGGAGCTGGAGCATATGATAGACCCTTACATGACAATTAAAAAATTTACTTTACTGTAGAGCCTTACAAAACAATGCATTTTTATGTTTGCTTTCTCATGTTTTCATAGTTGTGTAACTTTGCCAGTTTAATATAATTTTTTTCTGGGCCATTACACATTTCTTGGTCATTCAAGCAGTTTTTTACTGTAAATGTTTTATGTTCTTAAACTTATACAATAGAAATTTAGGTACACAACTCCATTTTTTAACACATCCATCAGGAGTCAAGGGGGGGGTGTCTTTGCACTACAATTTGTTGAATATCAAAAGTAAGTTAAAATCGGAAGCTCCCACAGAGGGTGATTTGGGATGTATCTTTTTAAGACAACATCGAGACAAGTTTTCATTTGTTAATTGATAAATTTTAAAGTGAAATACAGTATCATCAAGTCTCCATACTAGCTAGTATTAAGGTCTACTCACAGGGAGTAAATTCAGTGTATATATCAACAAAGCCACATTCTCAGCATCATTAATTAAGCAACTGCCAACAATTTCACCTGCGATTCAGTAAGGAAGGTCAAAGCATCATGATAGTCAGCAGTAGGATAAGCAGACAGAAACACTTTGAAAGTAGCTACAGCCATAATATTGTACTCAACTTGCCACACAATATCTACCAAGGTGTTTCTAAATAGTTCCTGAATACCTCTGTGTGTGATTTGGACACATCCATGCTTCTTGTGCTTACCACTTCAAATCACTTTTTGCAGTCCCAATGCTAAAATAGTGTGGGAAATGCCTTCTTTTTAGCCATTAAAAATATCCAGAAAATTTCAGTTCAAATTAGAAACACCTGATTTGGTAGTGTTTTTTTTTCAACAAAAAATGTCTCCCACTGGCTTGTGAGGGGCATGTTAAATAAGAGTCTATATGTTTGATAAAATATGGATGGTTTTAGTTGGCTTGCACAATCTGAACATTATATGTGTATGAATGTAATTCTATATGAGATATTCACAACAAATTAATAATTAATCAGTACCTACAAAGGTTATGGTGCACTAAGAATGTAAAATGAAACACATGGTTACAGCAGGATGATGTTTTCAGTTTTTACCTCTTATTTTTAGTGCAGTTTGACAATCACAAGTTTAAGCAGATAAAAAAAATTCAAATGTGTATTATTTTGCAGTGCATCCTATACTTTAAATACCTAAAGTTTTGGAATTTATAAGAAACAAGAATTGTGAAATTTTGTGTTTGGTTTATTCCAGGGATGTGTATTTAGCCACAGTAGAGCCTCGTGGCAAACACGTGATGATTATCATAGATCATGGAACTTCTTTAAGTTCCAACCAATTGGCAGTAGCCAAAGCTGTAGGAAAACACATACTTTTTACATTATCGCACCAAGACAAGGTAAGGTATAGTTGGTTTTCTTCAACTCTGATCTAAAATGTTGTTTTAAGTCATTTTCATCAGTTAGACCTACAGAAAGACCAAAATTAAACCAAAATTCATTTCCAATCTTACATAGAGAAAGTACTTTGAGACTTGTGCACAATCTAAAATGTAACTTATATTTATCTTTTTTTGGAAGATTAATGTGTTTATATTGATAACAGAGTTAAATCTTAGGGTATATCTGTAAAATTATATGGATGTGAAAATACAGATTTTTTTTTGTTAAAAACAAAAAATTGACATGTACCTGTGTTAATTTCAACTTAAACATTTTATTTTAAAAATGCACATTGACTAAGCATTTTTAGCAGCTTAGTTTTGTACATTTGTCTTTAGTTTGAGAGACTATGTCAGTGTTAAAACTAAACTAGGGGGTAGGTGGTGGATTTATTGTTTTTAAAAGACCTTGAATGATGCCAATTTTATTGCTAGCCTTTTTTTATTTGTGTTCAGAAACAGATTTGTTCTTATTTCTAATTATCATTAAGACTAGTTTTATAATAGTTTTAGTTAAGTAATATTTTTTGTACTTGTATTATCTATATACACTCCACATTTGTAACATCTGTTTTGCAGGTTGGCTTAATTGGACTTTCTGGTGAACCACATCATCCTCAAAGTGATAGCTGTCTAACCCACCAGATGGCGTATGCTACTTATGAGACAAAGCTTCATTTTAGTAGATTCATTGATAGGCTACAAAAAACAAAAAGTTAGTTTTTAATTTTTACAATTCATAAGGCTTATTGAATTTCTTAGATAATTTGTAGTATTAGTTAACTTTGAAAATTTATATGATATCTAATAAAATATTGTAAAATGTAATATCTTAATTTCTTCTTTTTAATATGGCCCAACATGGCAGGTGGTTAGGGTGCTCGACTCGCAATCTGCAGGTTGTGGGTTTGAATCCCCATCACACCAAACATGCTTGCCCTTTCATCCATGGGGATGTTATAATGTGCAGTCAATCCCACTATTCGTTGGTAAAAGAGTAACCCAAGAATTGGCGGTGAATGGTGATAAAGAGCTGCCTTCCCTTTAGTCTTATAACTGCTAAATTAGGGATGGCTAGCACAGATAGCCCTTGTGTAACTTTGCACAAAATTTCAAACAAACAAACAAATCTTTTTAATAAATTTGATCTTATTTTCTTTTGCTTCAGTTCTTGTAAAAAGTACTGAGTGTTATAAATTTAATGTGTTCAGAGAATTAATGTTAAGATGTGAAATTTTTGATCCAGTGAAGACTCCAGAAAAGGAGTGGAAATATCTCAAAAATAAGAATTTTAACATAGGAAAAGTTGAAAAGTTTTTTTTTTATTTCTAGTTTTGTCCTTTGCTATGAATCTAAAAGCAAACTCTAGTGATGTTTATGAAATTAATGTAGTTGATATCAAATTCTTTATCAAATGGAAAACACAGAGCTTATTGTATTTTTATCAATTTAAGTATCAGTGGGGGAAAAAAAAAAGAATAATTTTGCTTATTATTAGAGAAGAGACTGTAAGTATAATACATGGGACTAATTGTATTATATGGTTAATATTTTTTTAATTGTATTTGAGTTTGAAATAAATATTGGCTGATAGTGATAACTTGGGACTCACTATGGCCTAAACAGAGGAAAGCAAGCCTAATGAATATTTAATCTAGGAATTACCTTTCAGCTTATGCATAACAAATAAAGGTCTATAGCAGCTCATTTTAATGGAGTATCTTCAGGCCTAGCAACAGACAATAAACATTTTACCTATGGGAAACTAGGTCTGGAATCCTTGTGCACAAATTATTTATCTATATAGGTTTATATATATTCTTACATAATCTTAATTAAGATGTAACCAATATTGTCTTACAGCTTAAATGATAAATTACCAACAAAATTCAAAATTATGTTTGCTGTAGTGCTATAATGTTTTAGAGGCTTTAACCCATTCGCTGCCTGGTCCATACACGGCCTCTAAATGTTTTTTTCTGTTCACTGCATCAATGCTATCTAGTAAATCCATAAAATAACTTGGATTTTCTCCAACTTTGGCAGCTCTTGCTGCTGCAACAGCAGTATGTTGTCATACTGGCCTCTCTAATATCTTGAGAGAAACTGACACATGGAAGGCAAAAATAATTGATTTATTGTGTGGCAACAAATGACAATGGACAACATTACCACAAAAAGTTATGATTCAATATGTGCTGCAATTTTAAAAGCAAAATCTGTATGTATATCAATCTCAGTGAACAGAAAAAAAAATCAAAGTTTATATATGTACCAGCTGCAATGAAAGGGTTAAAAAACTTGATACTGTAATTTTTAAAAGTTCTAATTAACAAAGACATAAAAAACATTCCAGCAAAACAATCTTTATGTAACAATTATACCATAGCTTTACATGGCTAGTGACCTGGAAAAAAGAACTGTATAACTTATGAGAATGGTGCTTTTTATGCTAGAGATGAATAAGCCATGGAATATCATAAAAAAGTACAAAGTTTCATATTTTATTTTGAAGATATTTTTTTTTGTTTCTTTTCTTCAGCTAAAATATATTTTGTGAGAATTTTCAAAGATCTGTTGTTTCAACAAAAAAATAGTTTTTTTTTACCATATGTCCACTGTGCTTACAAGTCATAAGGATAGGATGTAAAATTATGTACTCAGTATCAACCTGTATTTTCTAAATATCTGGTGATATCAGTACTTTGGAAAAATGACCACTACTGATATATTAGTACATCCATATTAAACTAGTCAGATTTTTTCAGTAATACAAAGGTAAAAAACATAGTACTGTGCTTACAGTTTTGATTTATCTGGAGATTGCAGTTGAACTAAAAGAAGTATAGAGTTCAGGCAAGTAAATTCTTCCTGACTTCGTTGAGAAAACCTCAACCAAACAGAGAATATTATCATTCTTTAAATCTCCACATTACCAAACTGGTTTAGACAGTACTTCTAAATGAGAGAATTTGGGGCACATGTATGAAATATCTTATATTTAGTTCAGTCCAACCCGTGGCCTGGCATGGCCAGGTGGTTAAGACACTCGACTCGCAATCTGAGGGTCGCGAGTTCGAATCCCTGTCACACCAAACATGCTCGCTCTTTCAGCCGTGGGGGCGTTATAATGTGACGGTCAATCCCACTATTCGTTGGTAAAAGAGTAGCCCAAGAGTTGGCGGTGGGTGGTGATGACTAGCTGCCTTCCATCTAGTCTTACACTGCTAAATTAGGGACGGCTAGCGCAGATAGCCCTCGTGTAGCTTTGTGCAAAATTCAAAAAACAAACAAAACAAACAGTCCAACCCAAGCAGTGGTACCCAAACTGAAAAGAGTAATCCCCCCTTTTTTAAATTTTTCTGGTCAAAAATATTTGGAAATTATTACAAACAGATTGAATTACTGTAAATGTATGTTGCTGTAAAATTACTGTAAATGTATGTTGCTGTAAAAGTATTGTAAATGTATGTTGCTGTAAAATTACTGTAAATGTATGTTGCTGTAAAATTACTGTAAATGTATGTTGCTGTAAAAGTATTGTAAATGTATGTTGCTGAAAAATGAATTTTTTGATTTTGTTCTTATAGACTCCACCAATCATCTTGTTGGATTTCTGAAAGCCTTTGAACTACTACAGAATTCCTTACCTCCTGTTGGAACACTTACCAGTGGTAAAAATGACCTTTGTGCTCTTGTATTTTAAAGTACATATTTATTTCTGGAAAAAATGGGAACTTTTGACAGTAGCTATATGGTGAAGCACAGAATTTAAAATGTTGTCACTCCCATTGAGTGCAGTTAAATAAAAACTTCAAATTCAGTAAATAAATAATCTCAAGTTCAAGATACATTTATATTTGATCTTGGTGGGAAATAATTTTTTCTCAGTACTGGTTGATTTTTATTGTTCATTAGGATGTTTGTGGAATAAATATTATTGCTTGTTTCAATGAAAGTATCACCTTTTCAAGTTTTCTGTACATATATATCTTTTCATTCACTGTTACTTGAGTAAAAACACTACTTTCACACATTCTCACCTTTTTTCCCCTCCTTGACTTTCTGTGACTATTTCCAGAATGATATTTTTTTTTTGCACACAAGCCATCAAGAACCTTTTTATTAGCCAATAAACTTTTGTAATATTAATTAGAACCTTAACACACATCATAATTAAACTGTGAAAACTTTTGAATCTTTGTCATTGGATGACAGTAGTCATATAATAGTTTAAAAAAAAACAAAACAATTCATGACAGAAACTGAGTGTATTAAAGAAATCAGCTAAAAAAAAAACAGTTCATGACAGAAATTGAGTGTATAAAAGAAATCAACAAATTCTCCTTAGGTTTGTGTCCTTGTGAAAAGAAATTACATTTTGGACCAGTTTTTTAATTAATTTTTCTGAAAGTATGTCAGTGGACAAAACATTAATCATTTTTTATTGTAAATAAGATCATCTTTTCTATGGAGGGTGATATTTTGGCTATGAGGATAATAAGTATTGTCATATCTTACCCCCATCATAACTAGTGTAGAATGTAGTATTTTTATTCCGGTATATTCAGATAGTTTTCATGCAAGTGTTCTGCATAGTTAAAAACATCTTTGTAAACCAGATGTATTAAGGTTGTAAGCTTTCATTAATCTTATACATTATATAACCATTACATTCCACAAAGGTTATACTTGCTTGAACCTGTTTCAGTACTGGTCCCCCAGAGTGAGGTTGTACTCATTCCAAGTTGTGTTATATAGACTTGTATAAGTTCTTACAAGTTAGGGATTTATCTACCTTGAATATATTTACTTGGAGTGATCATTAAAATGGGTAATATAAGGATTGTGATTATCAACTTGATGGTGTGGTATTTCATTATTCTCGTTTCCGTCTTTGTCCTGTGCAGATGTGTGTGGACTTCCTCTCCACCGATTAGTATTACTGTGAATAGAGGTTGGTCAGTTGATGGATTACAGTTATATTTATAATGATTTTGTTGTTCTTCACATGTCACTTCCAGAACCACACCTTGGGTATAGTTGATTTTTTTCTTCAGATATCAATGTACCTATACCTAAATCATGTTTTTGAGGGCTACAATATAATCATGGTGTACATCATCATGAAGAAAAGCCATGTGCACTCTGCTAAGCATCCTCTTTAGTTACAGACTGTGTCATAAAAATGTGCATTATTTTTCTGATATCCAGGAATTGAGATTAATAATAATTCTATCATACAGGTATGACTGCTTTATTTTATTTTTATTTCTTTGCATTTGCAGATTCAGAAGCACTTATTATTTACATCAGTAGAGGACTTCTGTCATCTCTCACTGAAGCTCGTCCAGTTCTAGAAGCTATTGCCAATGAAAATCATAAAATTGACAATAGAGTTATCATCAACACTTATGCTGTTATTGATGGTAAGCTAGTTGCTTGTCTTTGCACTGTTACTTATATATGATGATAAAGTAAATAAATATACTTTTATCATTAAAAATTTTTCTCGGAACTAGTTTATTCAAAAGAGCATTTGTCATGTAAATATTTGCTTATTTTAGTGGATATAATTATCAAAGTTTATGTATTTTTTTTAACATTTTTATTTTTCAACTAAGATTTAACTTTTAATTTGCAGTACTTATGGTATCTGAAAAAATATTTTTCTAAGATTTTTATCATAGAGAGTAGGTTGTGCTTTGAGAAGCACTGAATATAGATGGACATGATTGGTCAGACCTATATATATGTAGTTTTATTTGTATGTTTATTTAAATATTAAATCAGATGTACTTAATAAAAAAATTAATTCAAGGCATTTGTGTGGCTGAAATATTCATAGTATCAAATATGAATACTGATAGTTAAGCTAAGTTTGATCGCTGTGAAGAACATGCTTGATAGTAAATTTGTTTTGTCTGATCTCAAAGATTAATATAAAGATTAAGATTTGCTCTAATTATTACTTTCATTCTTGCTTGTATTAAAGATATTTTTATCAAAGTTTGTTTTCTGTAGATAATCTTTGTACAAAAATTAATTCAAATTTGTATTTGCTCTTAGATGGGAAACCTATTATGTATGAAAAAACCTTTCTCAAAGATATTGCCAAACAGAACTTCTACAAGTACAATGTTCTCCCTCCAGATCCTTCTAGCATTAAGGTGAGTTACCTTGGTCAAGGTCAACTTATTGTCATTTAGTTCACCAGGAAAAAGTAGTGACAAAAATCATTCTTTTTTTCAAACCCTATTATTTTCACATCACATTCGTTTAAGCAGTGAAGATTGTCAAATTCAATAAACCAGCTTATTAAGTATATTTAAACTTTTACATTCTTATGTAATGTATTATAATATTTACCTCAGAAATGAGTGTGTTACTCTTGCAGAAATATATATTTCTAACAGTTACAATATGGCATATAAGAGAAATAAATTAGTCTGAACAGAAATATAATGAACTAACTACCTTGTAGAAAATGTTTGTTTCAAAAATTTCTTGTAGACTGTGGTTTTAAAGATGTCATTCAGTCACTGTTAAAAACAGAACCTCAAATTGTATAATTTCTCTCTCTAAGCTGCTGGTCAGTTGACAGTCAGTACTTAAAATTAGCTAGCTTATTGGTAAATAAGCTAAACAGCATGAAGTCAGATTGAACACAGTCTTGAGAGAAAAGTTGGTTACTCCAAGTAACATTTTGTGTCCGTCACAAAATGTTTGCTGCTATTATTGAATGACTGGATTGAACACTTCAGTAAAGTACTAGTCTTAACTCTCTCACATTCAGTTAAGTCTGGCATGGCCTGATGGTTAGGGTGCTCAACTCGCAAACTGCGGGTCATGAGTTTGAATCCTGTTGTTAAACATGCCCACTCTTTCAGCCATGGGGGCATTATAGTCAATCCCACTTGTTGTTGGTAAAAGGGTAGTCCAAGATTAAAAGTTTTATAGAAAGTGTGTGAGGGGAGTGGAGTGCTATGGACATGAGAGCCTTACTACTGAGCAATTGGTGGTAGGTATTGTTGACTAACTGCCCTCCTTCTATTCTATCACTTCTAAGATAAGGATAGCTAATGCATATAGGTTTCCAGTAGCTTTGCACAAAATTCAAAAACAATAAAAAATCACATTGACGTATATAAAAAAAATATATATATATTTAAATTACTGACATATGCTCAGTTAGATACTTTACAATACTTACTTACTGGTGTTTATTGTTTCACATTAGTCTATTAAAGATATTTAAATTCCTGAAATATGTTCAGTTGATTTAGATATCTAGATTTAGATATTTAATATCAATAAAATATAAGATTAACTTAAGAAGTTAAATTTCTCTGGTGTTTATTTTTTTGTTCAATTTGATTTACTGTTATTACTTTATGTTTATTAGAAATCTTTTAAGTATATCTTAGTTATTTTTTGCATTAAAATAACTGATATAAATTTGTAATTTCACTCCTACAGGAAGGGATGATGGTTGCTGTTAACTCCACAAAGAATCTTAGCTTTCTCTTAGGAGATTTTTATTCTGTGATGTCACCACCAGCTCATTTTGAAACACATTTTTCACTCCCATGGTGGGATCCTGTTAGCAAGGGTAATCATGTTTCTTGATGTGTCATATTGCTTCAATAATGAGAGTGATCATTAATACTGTCATCAGGAATTGAAAATTCAATTTATCACTTTTGTTCTAAAAAGTGTGTCACTAAAATTTTATCTTTTTCGGTATAGACTGTAATTTAATTTTTAATTACTTATTTTTGTATAAAGTTATTTGCTTTAATTTTTTTTTGCAAGTTAGTTATGGTGAATATGAAATTAATGATTTTATTATTGTAGTTGGTTTACATATTAGTTGTGTGTTTCTGTATGGATCCTTAATAAATAGAAAAGTAACTTTTGTTAATTTCATCTTTACTTATGTTTTATTAGGTTTAGTTGTTAGCCTCAGCCAGCCAGTGTATTATGAAAGCAGGCTGTTGGGAGTTGTAGGACTGGACATCAACCTAGCTGACTTAGCTGAAGATGTTACCTATTTTAGGCATTCAGAGGACGTATATGCTTTTCTCATAGATAAGTCAGGTAATTCTGGTGTTTAATGATAATTTGACTCTTTTAAGGTAAAATAAAGCAATTTTTTGTCACGTTCACATTTAGATATTTTGTATAAGAAATGTTTTTTATAACAGAATATAAATTTCATATCATTGTGTCTATCACAATTTAGAGTTAACATTACTAATATATAAATATTCATTTCTTATGCTACAAAATAAAATTTGTATAATTTTACAATTCCAGAGATGGGGAAGTTGCTTCAAATAATTTATAGGCATGCGTTGTACGATTTAAAAATCAATTATATGGAAAGACTAGAAAATGTAGAGAAGTTTACAACTTTCACTTAAGTACTGTGTATGTGTTTGTTCAGAAGCATTCTGTGTGGTTTTTCAATTCTTACCACATTAAAATAGTAATGAATTTAAGACAAAGAGATGTATTTTAAATAAAATACAGTAGGAATAATATCCGTAATTTTTTATCCCGTTTTGTATGTTAGTATTTTATGTTGTTTGTCAGCAATTGCATTGTTAGGTTTGTAAAATGTTGCAGCTTTACTAATCAGCATTCACTTCTAAATAAGAAAACTAAGGACTGAGTATAATCAATGTGTTTGTTATAACACAGTTTTTCTATATTGATGAAGATGACAAATTTGAACATTTCTTCTGTTTTATTAATAAAAAAGGACTTTCTTTTCTTTAAAAGCTTTATACTCAGTTCATCACTGACATGTACAAACATTAAAAGTACAAAGTATCTTCTCACTATAAACAGCTCTCAATCCTTTTTACTTCCTGAACTGTTTGGTTACCAATTATTTTTCATACAAACTGGTCAGTTCTTTTTGTTTTTAATTTTTGACACATATTATTAACTCTAGTGCTGATTGTCTTAACACCTAATTCACCAGGTACCTTTGGTTCACCAAACCACATGCAAGTTGATTTTCATGTTTCAAAAAATTCAGAGAAAAGATGGCACTCACGAGTGTTTCAGCCTTGTTTTAGCGTTATAGTGAATGTTTAATAATTTAAAAATTAGATATCATAATCTTAATACTTGCTTTTAGCTTTTAACATCTGCTAATGCAATGAGAAGAATTGAGAGAGATTTTGTATGCACATACACAGTACCATTAGAAGAAGTAACATGGTAAAAACGTCTGATATGCTTCTGTATTAAACTTATAGATGATTACAATCCTCTTTTTTTTCTGCATGAAAACCAGACTGATATTTTATGAATAAAGAACTAAATAGAGATGCCTTTGAACAAAATCCTCTGGTTATTTTTATAAATGGTAACATTCTTGTGATTTTAGACAAGGTTATGATTCTGTACAAGTTTGGAATGCTTTAAATAAACATGTAGACTATAGTTGTTAACATACCAATTCATTTTTAATATATATTGATGTACTACAATGTAACAATGTTACATCGAGTCCATACTTATGTACTAATACAAAACATGGACAATAACAAATGAAGTTGAGACAAAACTTGAAGCAGCTGAAATGTGGTTCTGAAGAAGAATACTGCAAGTAGTGTGGACTAAGAAGAATTGCAGTGATCAAGTATTGTTACAAGCCAACATGCAACATCATCAAGAAGATATGGACTAAGAATAATAGTAATTATCAACTATTGTTACAAGCCAACATGCAACATCATCAAGAAGATGTGGACTAAGATGAATAGTAATGATCAAGTATTTTTACAAGCCAACATGCAACATCATCAAGAAGATGTGGACTAAGAATAATAATAATGATCAAGTATTGTTACAAGCCAACATGCAACATCATGAGGAAGATATGGACTAAGAAGAATAGTAATGATCAAGTATTGTTACAAGCCAACATGCAACACCATCAAGAAGATGTGGACTAAGAATAATAATAATGATCAAGTATTGTTACAAGCCAACATGCCACATCATCAAGAAGATATGGACTAATAAGAATAGTAATGATCAAGTATTGTTACAAGCCAACATGCCACATCATCAAGAAGATATGGACTAATAAGAATAGTAATTATCAAGTATTGTTACAAGCCAATACAACATGCAAACATTATCAAGAAGATATGGACTAATAAGAATAGTAATTATCAAGTATTGTTACAAGCCAATACGACATGCAAACATTATCAAGAAGATATGGACTAATAAGAATAGTAATGATCAAGTATTGTTACAAGCCAACATGCAACATCATCAGGAAGATATGGACTAAGAAGAATAGTAATGACCAAGTATTGTTACAAGTCAACATGCAACATCATCAAGAAGATAAAAAAAGAGACAAGATGAGTTCATATGCAGTGTGGTGAGGAAAGAAAAGATGGAGGACTTAGTAACAACTGGCAAGATAGAAAGACAAAGAACAAAGGTGCTTGATGGACTTGCAAAATGGTTAGGAACCATGAATAACACAAATTGTTGAAGAACACCAGTGACAGAGAGAAATGTTAACACCTGCATGCAGGCAGGACACTGGAGAAGAAGTGTTTGATTGCAGTATACTTGTTAGTAAGCTGACTAAATGGAATAGTAAATATGGCATCAGTTGTTGCTACACTGAATTAACTATCAAGAAATGATTGACAACTAATAATATAAGTAATCCTAAAAATTAAATATATTACTTTTTCAAGTTCATATATTTTTTAAATCGTGTTTCTTTTTTTCTCTCTCAAGAATGATTAGTTATGTACTAATTGTTTTGTAATTTCATTGGACAACAAGGAGGTGATTGGTGCTAAAATTAGTTTTGAGAATTCGTTATATGGACTTAAAATTTAAAATACAAACTTCTGAATCCTTCTGTGTTAGGTATGACCTTGATGCACCCCTCTTTCACGAGGCCAATGTTTGTAAAGAAGCAGCCACTACATACACCTATAGAACTTTTGGAAAATCAGCCTGGTTTCCAAAAGATTAGGGAATACATTCTGAGGTGTGTAATTTTTAATTCATTATTGTATTTACTCATTTAGTATTTCCTTTAAATTAACATTTCATCACAGTAAGCTTAATTGTTTTGTTTTAATTTATATTGTAATGTTATTATGAAAATTATTCACCCACATTGATTACAATCAAAATTATAAAATAATATCCAAATCTAAACTAACGTAAATGATAGATGCTAATTTAAAAATTAAGAAATATCAGTCCTAGTTAACAAATGGGGTTTCAAACTGTTGTATGTTTGATAAAGAGAACACTAAGTATGTGGGTGATAATGTCTTGTGTTGTTTAAAAGACATCTGAGCTGTTGAGGATTTGTTAAGGCAGCTACTTTTGTGGTTGCTACTTGTAAATAAAAGTATCTAAACTATCAGAAGTTGAGTGTTATATAACGTAACCACTGTAGTGGACTTGATTGTAATTATCATGTATTGATAAGATATTTCTCAAATGAATAAAATGTTTTTGTTACATTTTCTCAAGGAATGATAGTGGAGAGAAACATATATCAACAAAAGTACCGTGTAAGCCACCCAAAATGGGAAATTTTGCCCTGAATAGTGCAGATTTAAAATGTTTAGATAAACAGGGGAATAAACACCAGACAGTCTACAGTTGGAGAAAGGTGGGTTCTGTGAGAATAACTTTATAGTTTCTGTCATTGTCAGTGTTACAAGTAAACTATAAAGTGATGTTTTATTTTACTTAAAAACCGGTATAGTAATTTTTGATTTCTGTATTTGAATTTTTTATTCTGTTTATTATTATAAGTTATATTTTAATTCTTAGAGACTTTTCTCTTAGTAATGTATATTTCTGTTCAAACAAAATTGTATTTTTAATGTAAATTTTTTTTTTGACAAGGTTTTTCTGTTTTCTATGAAACTGTATTAAACACGTATATTAAAATAATGAATATTGTCTCTAGGTTCCTCGAACTCCATACATTGTGTGTGTGGTGTCAGTCCAGATGAAGAAAAAATTTAATAGATTGCAAAAAATCTTGCCTTCTCTTGAACCTGCATTTGTTCACCACAGACTTGACCTTATGGGAACTTCCCGCATGTGTAGACACATTAAACAACTCTCAACACTTGGTATGTATTTCTAACATGGAAAACTTTAAGTTACTTCAGTTGTATTTAACACACTTAGAAGTCTTGAGGATAACAAGACAAGGTTTATTTCTAGGAAAAATATTAGGTTTGAAGTGTACTTTTATTTTTTTGAATCGTAATTGTTCATTTTGGAGGGAGAGGTGAATTAAGTCTAGTTATTACCAAGCAAAGTCTTCTAAACTTAAACTAATGACTAAAAGGTAGTTTAACATGCTTAATCCTCTTCTTTTTAATGTGGGTATGATTATCTGTTGATTAGAAATATAAGTCTATTGATAATGAAAGAGTTGAAAAGATGTTAGTTATTGGAAGAAGTATATATATTTTTTAATGTAGATATTTCTCCACATAGTTGTATTGATTAACATAAAGAAATTATAAGTTGAGTACATAAATATTTTTCAGTATAAATGCTGAATCAGTGCTCTTCTAATGATTTACTTAGTTTTTGATATATCATTTTACACATATTTCTGACCTGGTAAGCAGCACCAGTTGCTCGTAAGATAGATACGGTAGAATTAGTATAGATGTTGGAGTTCTGATTGACTGAAGACAAGTTTTAGAAATGTTATTGGCCCGTATCACTAAGCCTGTTGTTTGGCTAAGTTTGACTATATATCCTTGGATAATTAATTAGAAAAAATTTAACAAATAAATTACTATTCATTGTGTAGGTGGTGTTCTTTATGAGAGTAAGTTTGACTTAGGTTTTAGGTGAGTATAAATTTGATGCAACTGTAGAGTGCAAAGTAACAACATTTGCATAATTTCCCTAAAAGCTGTCTGAATTTCTAGTATCCAAAAAATTTTATCAAGTGTTTGTTTTAACTTTTTCAGTAATTAAATGTCCTTGTGATGTGTGTTATCTGTGATAACATGCAAAACTGTGAATTTGAGGGTTTGTGGTTCTTGTCCGTTTACTGCTAAATCTTTTTTTGCTCTTTGGGGGCCGTGGGTGTATTATAAGAGGAACAGTTTAATTCCACTATTTGGTCAGACAAAAGTTGGCACTGGGTGCTGTTTACTAGTTGTATTCCCTCTAAACTATCAGCTCAAAATTAAGGATGGCTAGTGGGGGTAGTCCTTGTGTAATTTGGTGAAAATATTCAAAACAAACTGAATTCCCCCTTGGTGTTTAGGAATAACATTTATGCTATGTTTTACTGTGGTAAGTCAACTTGTACGTATGATATAAAAAACACAAATAGAAATTTCAAAATTGAACAGTACATTCATAAGATCAAATGAGAAAATAATTAAATCAAATTGTTTTCTGTGCATCCAGAATCCAGTACACTTTTCCTGTCTGCATCATGTTTTCTCTCGCCCTTCGAGTACCTGACAAGTAATGAAACAAAAAACAAGGTTCAAGGTTACGTGGCATACCTTAACGACAAAACTAAACTAATTGCCAATCCTGGTCTAAAGGTGAGTAGTTATTTTAAATGCCATGCTATTATCGGATAGATATTTAAAAAATTTTTTCCTTTTTTTTATGAACTGAAATAAAAAATGCACACCAGAACTAGGAAACAATTTCTAATGACAGGTTTGGTATTGATGTAACTGTTTGCACTTGGTAACTTACAAACAAAGTATGTAAAATGTTGAAGAAGCTTTTACAGTTTCATATTTTGACAGGTAGTGAACATCCTGATTGAATTATTGTATTGAAATAAGTAGCAAATGAGATGTTTGTTGTAATTAATCTTAACAAGTGTTAACATCATAACAGTAATAAAAAAAATATAGAACACAGGTTATATAAATGTCCATAATGTGTCTGATTAAATATATAGACCTTCGTGTGGTTGTACAATGTAAACATAGGATGATATGTAATTGGAACATGGTATAAGATGCCAAATAACAAAAGTGGTTTTAATTTGGTTTTGGGTTAGTCAAACATACTAAGAAAACTGAATTGAGTTAAATAGTTCCCCACTAGGTCAACAGTAAGTTTACAAACTTACAATCCTAAAATCTGAGGATGGGATCTCCATGATGGACAGAGTGCAGATAACCTATTGTGTAAGTTTGCACTATAACAAAACTTGAATAAAAGTGCAAATTAAATAGAACACATGATACCTTCACGTTTGTTTAAGCAGGGTATGAAATATTTTACAGTGTACAGTGTAAAACATTATGTATATCTTATTTGTCTCTATCAATTAATCTGAATTCTAACCATAAAATCTACTTTCGAAAATTGTATGTTTCCTTATTTTAAGACTTGAGATAAAATTTGATCGTGCACAAAAAAACAAACTAACTAAATATTAGTGACTACTGAATGATGAAAACAAGGAAATCCAGTTAGTCATCATCATGAATAGAAATTGTTTACAGTTCAAAAATATAAAAAACAATAAATATGACTGTTTATATGTGTAACTCTTAAGGTATCCAAATGCCTCGTCATCTAATTAGTGACAAGCATGAATGGATTAACGAGATTCCCACTGTCCCTATCTACTATCTAGTGAAACCACAGCCAATGGAACGGGCTTGGAGAAAACAGTTGTCAGTTTCTTTTGGGGTTGTAAAAAAAACAGCTGTTGGTTCAATTTTTGGGTAAAAAAAGAACTGGTCAGGTCTTGGTTTCTTTTTTGGGTAGCATCGTACATTAAGCATATTGGAAAAGACAAAGAGGCATCATATAGGCTTGATTCTAGATGTATAACTAATAAATTCTTTGAAATCTTACAGATAATTAATATATTGATGGTTATTGTTGTCTTTAGATTTTTGTAGACTAAATGTGGTATTGTTAAGAGCACTGTATTCTTGCCTTTCATGTCTTGTCTCTTCATTATGGTGTGAATATGACATTGAAGTGAAACAATCCAGGTGATCATATTTGCTGACTTTTCAGTTGTTACTATCATTTCTATCTGATACATATCTACTTACTTATGCATGTTTTTTCAATTTCCATGATAATGTCTTATTAAAAAAATTGTATTTATATGTATTTTACTTCAAAGGAAATTTTGTTTTTAGTATTTGTCTAAATTACTTAGTTGTTCAGAAGAAGAAGCTTTGATTAAGATTTATAATTAGCTAAAATGGCTGAGTGGGTAAGTAAAAGAAATAAGATATTTAAAAAGATAGTTTTCACTTACACATATGTCAATAGCTGTTGAGGTCTTACTTTCTCTTTTTCTTTTGTGTGAAAAGAAATAATGAGAATTTCTTTTTTGCTGCCAAGGATGATTCTATGTTGTGATGCATGAACAAAAATTGTGTGCACTCTTGGTCTAACTGAGGTGGTCTGTATAATTTTAGTTTTATTTTATCACAACTTAGTAAAACCAACAACAAGTATTCTTTTTTTTTTTTTTTGTCTCTTTTAAAATTCGCTTTTCTGTAGAATGAAGTACGGAATGATGTACTTTCTGCAATGCAGATCACTCCAGAATGGAAGAAAAGGGTTTTGAACAGTGATTTTTCCAAGTATATTGTTAGGAGGTATGTATACACGAAAGATATTGTATTAACATAAATATCTGTTTATTTCTAAACTAAAATCGACTATGTACATGCAAGGTTTAATAGCAACTAAAGTGCTTTTTATGATTGGCTGATGAAAATAAAGGTATCAAAAGTGTGTTTTTAAGCTGTTTTTGGCTTTAATGTTTATGTGTATAGTGGTCCACACACATTTCTAGGTTTGTTGCCACTCCTAACGGCATGTTCCAGATCTACCCAGGTACAGTAATAGACAAAAGATTTGACCCAACCAAGCGAGAGTGGTTTCGACGTGCCATAGAACATCCTGGGAGGGTAGTTCTGACAGCACCTTACCTAGATGTCGGTGGCGCTGGTTACATTGTAACGCTTAGCCATACTGTGTATGAGGGAAAGTAAGTTGTTGTTTAGACATTCTCATAAAATCTAATTATGGTGTTACTTACAGGCCTTTGTTTGATACATAGCAAATATGGTGATGACAACTGTATTTAATTATGTTGTGTGTTGCTGTGATAACTCTTAAACTCTTAAAATGTGCTGTAAAAATAGAAAGTGATTTGTATGCAACAAAGCTAAGTACTGTTTGCATAATTTAATTAAAGTAACATTAATTCTTTCACTAAATTGTGCTATAGGACCCATGGCATTATATTTGTTTGTACATGTGCATTGTGCCATATAATCTATAGCATATACTAATTTTCTTTTGTTTACATTTCCACACAGATGTAGTTGCCTTGGCTGTGCATATAATGCATCCTATGGAAATTCCATGTATTCTTGGTGGTTATATGTTGTGTAGATCATGTGACTTTGTTATGGCATATCTTCAGGAGGACAATCTGCTTGCACAAAGTTTTGGGATAAATCTTGAGGCTTCTCCAGCATCCACTGCTTTAATTCTGCAGTTGTATGTTGCTGTTTAACCATGATAAACTTCAAAAACCAAATACATAAACTAAGCTTTTATGTGTACAAGAGATTTTCATCCTTATCATACCAGAAAAAATCAAAGCAGTTAATGTTGGAGAAGACCCAAGATTTAAACCAAACAATTTTTGAACACTGGACGCATTATTTATTAAAGTATATGTCACTTTTTTAAAAAATAAGTATTTAAATTGACTGTTTCATTTGCAGCTGTTTTGAAGTATTGTCAACTCGTGCCTTGCAGTCTTTACAATTCAGACAAGGGCTAATTTACATTAATACAGTTTAAGTGAGCAAGTGCTGAACTAAAATAGCTTATGTATGTTGAGATATGTTATGTAACTAAGAACAGTAGGCCTAAAAATGTTGCACAATTGATTTTTGAATGCTACAAAGAAGATGGATATATTAGAAAATAAATTCCAATGTGATGTCATAAAAAACCATGTCTTAGTGGCTTTAAAACTACATATCAATAACTGCAATATGGAAATGGAATTACCAAAAAAATTTTTTATGAACAGGGAACAAACTGCTGCTACAGTGAAGGGTTAATAGATTTCAGTCTGCACTGATACATTTTATCTGTACCCAGTATATTGACAGATTTTAATATATTCATAACAATATTTATGGATTTCAGTCTACACTGATACATTTTATCTGTACCCAGTATATTGACAGATATTAATATATTCATAACAATATTAATGGATTTTAGTCTGTACATGGTAATATTAACAGAATATAGTCTGTACACAGTAATATTGAAAGAGTTTAGCCTGTGCTCAGTAATATTGAAAGAGTTTAGCCTGTGCTCAGTAATATTGAACGATTTTAGCCTGTGCACAGTAATATTGAACGATTTTAGCCTGTGCACAGCAATAGTGATAGATTTTAGCCCGTACACAGTAATATTGAAAGATTTTAGCCTGTGCACAGCGATAGTGATAGATTTTAGTTTGTACAGAGTATATTGACAGATTTTAATATATTTACAGTAATTTTGTTAGATTTTGGTTTTATCAATATTACTGTGTACAAAATAAAATATATCAATATTACTGTGTACAGACTAAAATCTATCAATATTACTGTTTACAGACTAAAATCGTAAACAGTAATATTGATAATTATAATATATATATACTTTATTCATTGTTTTGTAACTTGAAATGACAGCTTCTATATATATATTTTGTCTTATTGATTCAGCTTTCATCATAAACACACCTAGCATATTTCTATTATTATTCTTTAAATTGGAGAATATTATTTCTATTATTTTACTCTTTTCTAACATTCTTTATTAATTGTCATCAATTTTATATATTAAGTTGTCAAAGGTTGAAATACATGCATGTTTTTGTTCATATAGAGTATATATATATATATATATATATATATATATAT